ATCTATGATCATTCATGGTGAGCCAGTCCTACAATCTATGATCATTCATGGTGAGCCAGTCCTACAATCTATGATCATTCATGGTGAGCCAGTCCTACAATCTATGATCATTCATGGTGAGCCAGTCCTACAATCTATGATCATTCATGGTGAGCCAGTCCTACAATCTATGATCATTCATGGTGAGCCAGTCCTACAATCTATGATCATTCATGGTGAGCCAGTCCTACAATCTATGATCATTCATGGTGAGCCAGTCCTACAATCTATGATCATTCATGGCCAGCCAGTCCTACAATCTATGATCATTCATGGTGACCCAGTCCTACCATCTATGATCATTCGTGGTGACCCAGTCCTACCATCTATGATCATTCATGGTGAGCCTGACGCTCTACGTGTTCTTGTTTTTCATGAATGTTTTAAATGTCTGATATTATTATTATGAAAACATAATGGAAGGATGAGCTACATAATGTAGGCTGCAGTATTTACATTCTCCACACGGAGGAGATCCTATTTATTGTTAGTAGAACTAATGCAGGAAGTGATGTAAGATTACACAGGAAGTGATGTAGAGCACACACAGGAAGCATTGTCACATAGGAAGCTCTGGGAGTTGGAAGGAAGTAGAGAGGAGACATTCTCCTGGCAGCAGAGAAGGTAATAAGATTTCTTTCACTATAACTATAATTTAGGAATGCACCAATATCGGTGCTGATACTGGGCAATTTCACGAATACTTGTACACTTTTCAGACCACACTCAGCCCTCCTGAGACCCCGCACAGTCCTCCTGAGACCCCGCACAGCCCTCCTGAGAACCCGCACAGCCCTCCTGAGACCCCGCACAGCCCTCCTGAGAACCCGCACAGCCCTCCTGAGACCCCGCACAGCCCTCCTGAGAACCCGCACAGCCCTCCTGAGACCCCGCACAGCCCTCCTGAGAACCCGCACAGCCCTCCTGAGACCCCGCACAGCCCTCCTGAGAACCCGCACAGCCCTCCTGAATCCGGAGACCCCACACAGTCCTCCAGAGACCCCACACAGTCCTCCTGAGAACCCGCACAGCCCCCCTGAGACGCCGCACAGCCCACCTGAGACTCCGCACTGCCCACCTGAGACCACGCACAGCCCACCTGAGACCACGCACAGCCCACCGGAGACCCCGCACAGCCCTCCAGAGACCCCGCACAGCCCTCCTGA